TATTAGTAGAGATGAGGTTTTGCCGTGTTGGGCAGGCTAGTCTTGAACTCCTGACCTCGGGTGAGGCCACCCGCCTTGGCCTCCCAAAGTGCTGGGATTATAGGTGTGAGCCACTGTGCCCAGCCGAAATGCACAATTCTTTTTTTTTTTTCTTTCTTTTTTTCTTTTCTTTTTTTTTTAATTTGAGACAGAGTTTTGCTCTTATTGCATAGGCTGGAGTGCAATGGCACAATCCTGGCTCACTGCAACCTCTGCCTTCCAGGTTCAAGCAATTCTCCTGCCTCAGCCTCCCAAGTAGCTGGGATTACAGACACCTGCCACCATGCCCAGCTAATTTTTGTGTTTTTAGTAGAGATGGTGGGTTCACCATGTTGGTCAGGCTGGTCTTGAACTCCTGACCTCGTGATCTGCCTGCCCCAGCCTCCCAAAGTGCTGTAGGTTTCCACAGGGAAGACACTACAACTTTCTCCCAGACCACATGGCACATGTGCTGATGAGATGGCGCTGATGACACAGGTGCTGGTGAGATGGCACTGACTGCCCAGCATCTGCTTTTGTAGAAAACTGCCACATAGTCCCCTTTCAAACCTCACTTTGCCCCTCTGCCAAAACAGCTGCACCATCAGCTCCCAGGGTTGTGATGCCACCCCATTTGTTAACATTTGCTGAGCAAGGTGCTGATGGCTAGGTACTTTAAATGCATCACCGGGAAGCTTTTCCTCCTCCCTCTTTACAAGTCAGCTTGTCCCCGCTGACTCTCGGGACAGGCTGGGAGAGGCTAAGTGATTATGAGGATTGTCAGGATGGTAAGTGGCAGCAGTGGGTTCTGAACCCACGTCTTGCTACCTTTTTAAGCCTTCCCCTGCTTGTCCAGCAACGGACACTGTACGGGTTAGTAAATTCTGCATCCACTCATCAATACTGTGTGTGAGGCACTGTGCTGGACTCTGGAAGGTAAAAAGATTAAAAAAAAAAAAAAAAGAAGAAGAAGACACAGCCCCTGCAGAAGTTGCTTAAAATTAAGTTGCTTGAAAAGAAGCGACTTGACTTGGTAGAGATACTCAGGTTTCATCATTTCCTAATTACCTTTTTTTTGAATAGAGTCTCGCTCTGTCACCCAGGCTGGAATGCAGTGGTGCAATCTAGGCTCACTGCAACCTCCGCCTCCTGGGTTCAAGTGATTCTCCTGCCTCAGCCTCCCCAGTAGCTGTGATTATAGGCACATGACCATGCCTGGCTAGTTTTTGTATTTTTAGTAGAGACAGTGTGTCACCAGGTTGACCAGTCTGGTCTCAAACTCTCAGCCTCCCAAAGTGTTGAGATTACAGGTGTGAGCCACTGTGCCCGGCCTCCTAATTACTTTTCTTAATTTTTTTTTTTCTTCAAATTCTGCCAAGTCTCAGAACCTAATTACTTTTTAACATCTAGTTGGTGGTACCACATGATAGCAACCCTTTTCTTTCTAATTCTGTGAAAAGACCTTTAAATACAATTTTGGACATTGTAGTAATTTCTACACTAAGAAATAGATCATGGTCAGGCACTGTGGCTTACTCCTTGGCCAAAATCCCAGCATTTTGGGAGGTCGAGGCAGGAGGATCACTTGAGGTCAGGAGTTCGAGACCAGCCTGGACAACATGACCAAACCCCATCTCTACTAAAAATACAAAAAACATTAGCCACGCATGCGACACATGCCTGTGATACCAGCTATCCGGGAGGCTGAGGCAGAAGAATCACTTGAACCTGGGAGGCAGAGGTTGCAGTGAGCCGAGATCTCAAAAAACAACAACAACAACAACAACAAAAACCAGATCATAAGTACTCCGAAAAGAAAAGGACCTGGGTGAATGATGAAGTGGGAGGAAAAGCTGCCTCCTTCCCCAGCAAGATTTTTTTTTTTTTTGAGATGCAGTGTCACTCTGTTGCCCAGGCTGGAGTGCAGTGGTGCAATCTCAGCTGACTACAACCTCCACCTCCCGGGTTCAAGTGATTTTCCTGCCTCAGACTCTCAAGTAGCTGGGATTACGGGTGCACGCCACCATGCCCAGCTAATTTTTGTATTTTTAGTAGAGGCAGGGTTTTGCCATATTGGCCAGGCTGGTCTCAAACTCCTGACCTCAGGTGATCTGCCCACCTCGGCCTCTAGATCATGGTTAATAACAGCAAAGAACAGAGAAAAAGACTGGTGGGGCTGGGCGCAGTGGCTCGTGCCTGCAATTCCAGCACTTTGGGAGGCCAAGGCAGGTGGATCACCTGAAGTCGGGAGTTCAAGACCAGCCTGACCAACATGGAGAAACCCCATCTCTACTAAAAATAAAAAATTAGCCAGGCATGGTGGTGCATGCCTGTAATCCCAGCTACCCAGGAAGGCTGAGGCAGGAGAATCGCTTGAATCCAGGAGGCAGAGGTTGAGGTGAGCTGAGATCGTGCCATTTCACTACAGCCTGGGCAACAAGAGCGAAACTCTGTCTCAAAAAATAAATGAATGAATGAATGAATGAATGAATGAATGAATAAATAAATAAATAAATAAATACTGGTGGGACTGTCTCAGAGCAGAAAAGCTTTTAAGAATGGAAACTTCTTTAACTTGCTTTCTGGTGTATCTCCTCCTTAGCTATGGGGATTAACAACATGACTGACTAGCAAGCTGCCATTCTAAGAGGAAAATGAGCTAAGGTCAGATGGTAACATCATAGTCACTCCTTCCTATGGCAGGCACATGACAGTTTATCCTGTTGGTCAAAAATAAGTAAATGAAGACACCCCCAAATCCACTGGTTTCTATTAAGAGTTCTTTCTATTTTCCACTTTGGCCATTGACCAAAGGTGACAAATTCAAGATGAAGTGACAGAGTCCCTGCCCTGTTGTTGAGATGGCATCACGCTTGGCCAGAAACCTGTGAGCCTCTGACGTTTTTATGATCTGTCTAGGTGGGGACCTTGGATTCCCTGGTTGGCCTCTCTGATGAGTTGGGGAAACTCGACACCTTTGCTGAAAGGTAAAATATTCCTTATTTACTACATACAAGTGAGAATTTGACATTGTTATCAGAGGACACAGTGTTCTTGCTCTGGCTGAACTGGAGTATGGATTTGTCTAGACCTGGTTCCAGAAGTCAGCAGAGAAAACCGATCAGTTCCCCTGCGGGTGCTGGGTCTGCAGGAGCCTGCCTGGCCCCTCCCGGTGTTGTGTCTGCTGGAGGCAGCACTTGTTAAGGGGTTGCCTCCGACCTGAAGATCATGTATAGCTGCCGAGACACTTAGAAAACTCACTGGTGTAGTTTCCCACCAAACCTTTTTAAGTTTGTTTATTTTTTAGTAATAAATGCTCATAGTACAAAATTTCAAGTACAAAAAAAGTCCTGGTGCAGTGGCTCATGCCTGTAATCCTAGCTACTCCAGAGGTTAAGTCAGGAGACTCACTTGAGCCCAGGAGTTCAACACCAGCCTGGACAATATAGAGAGCCAGCCTGCCTGCCTGCCTTCCTTCCTTCCTTCCTTCCTTCCTTCCTCTTCCTTCCTCTTCCTTCCTCCCTTCCTTCCTCCCTTCCTTCTTCCCTCCCTCCTTCCCTCTCCTCCTCCCCCTTCTCCTTCCTTCCTTCCTTCCTTCCTTCCT